AGAGAGGTCAATGCTAGAGGTCTTAATATGGGTTTAAAAATAGTACAGAAGCACTAATAGTTTGTTAATAGTCTGCATGGTGATAATATTAAATGGGGGACAGATTAGAACTTAAGTTATGAGTTGATACTGAATACTAGACTAATTATTTTGTTGATCCTGATCTTCCTACTTCTCTTGCTTTAGGGCAACAAAGCTTCATCTGTCAGTGTATTTAACTTCTAAATTGTTGTATTATACTCAGGTGACCGTTAAGTACCTTGGGCCTCTTGTATTTACCGTTATTTAACGTAAGACTTGATCTAGCGTTTCACAAACATGACCGATTTGTTTTGATAACACATAGTTTTCACAGTTTATCTAATCGATGGCTTTGATTGCCAAGCAGTATACAATGTAGAAAACCTGGGTTAATTATAATTACCTCACTTATACTGTGCTAGTCCGCAGTACAGAATTAATTTTAAAAAAGATGCCTCCACAGCCATCAAAAGCATAGATTCCGAAATGTTTAAAAGAATTTAAATCCGAAAGGTGTAAAATATGTAAAATGAAATTAACATACACAGAAACGAAACTAAAGTAAGTTTATATTTAGGACATCCGCAAAAATTGCCAACTATTACAGGATATTCAAGAACAAATTCATTTAGAAGCTTTAATTTGTCTTTGTGTAATTAAAAATAAATAAATGAAATGCATCTACAGTGCATTTGCGTTTGATATTGGCCAGTATGTAAATGTTAAACATGGATATTGTAATGACGTTACATATATTACAGTTATTATTGAATACATACCATGAGCAAGGATGTTTAAAGGTCTAAAAAAAAATCCATCCGTGTAAACGTTTACTTGATCGGAAAAGTAAGCGAGTAACCGGTTACTAAAAATTGTCCGATTTGACAACACTTATAAGTATCAACACATAATTATAAGATTGGATGCTGCTCGGTTCGGATGGCCAGAGTCATTTTTATGACATAATTGAAGACATATTACTGGCATTTTGTTTTTCTCACATTACTTGAATTCTTGGTTGCCTACAACAAAAATATTTAAATTGATATTTGTAACAGAGATTTAATTTGCAAATTTAAAAATAATGTTACAGTAGTTAAGAACTGGAATTAGTATAAAAGTAAGAAGAACTGGTATACATTGCTAACACAATGAAGCATCGGCAAAGTATTGAAATTATGAAGAATAAGAATCAGAGTGAAATGTATTGAGCATGGATATGAAAAGAAGTGACATACTGTTATGAATGAGATTGAGTGGCCTCTTGCTTTTACTTAAGGATTTTCCAAAACACTGATTGATTTGTATTTGAGAATAAATTGTAGGATTCTTATGAGATGCAAATCCAATTTAAAAGCTTCATCAAATTAAAGACAGACTGAATTATATGTCAAAAGAATGTGAAATGGCATTTCATTTTGAAATAAAAACATGATTTCAACTCAGAAAAACCAATGGGGTACAAAGTAAACAAACTGGAGTGACATACCTAGATTCTCTCTAATGGTTAATACATGTATGTTTAATTTGGGATGATTATTTTTATTCCATATTTCTTCTGTGATATGCATTATAGATAAGTCTACTAAACATGTTTTATAGAGTTCACTACCCCAGGAGGTTAAATATTATGATTAGATATTATATCGTGTTTTTTGTTTTGTTTGTTTGTTTGTTTGGCGGGGGGGGGGGGGGGGGTTGCTGTTTACCAATCTCCTATGCAGAGTAGTCGTTCGTTCCTCTCTCAGACCTCTGCAATGGGCTCGCGTCAAGATTTTTGACATAACGTAAAAACATAATATTTCAAGGATTATTTCTTCATTATAACTTTCATTCTGAATGAAATATATTCATGTTACAGACATACATTTTTAGGGAAAAAAAATATAAATTTTGCTATTTTCTATTCAGGGATATACTTTCATTGTTTATAATACTAGTTGAGCCATATATAATTTATCCATAGTAGGAACAAGTTGATGATGAATTTACTTCAAAGGAAATGTAGTTTGTTTTAACATTGCCAAATCACTCATCGTGTTCATAGTTAAGTGCTAGGTATTGCAAATTAAAAATCCTATTACAATACCTTGGATACATTGCAATATTAAATTTTGTATTGAAATATATTACAATATAACATTATTTCTATCTTTTTTATTTTTTTTTTCTTTTTTCATCAAAGACAAAACATGTAGTATATTTTTTCCTTCATTCCATAGCAACATTGATGTGAAGCCAGCAATTTTTTTCATGCTACGTACAGTATCTAATAATCTCTGCATTAGTCACATACCTCAATATTTGTGTCGACGTTTTGAGTTTCTATCTTTAACTTTAAAATTTATCACGCAGATGTAGTGAATTTCCATGTCAGAGGACAATAATTGCACACGTAGTGATTTTCCTTCCCAGAGTATATTATTTACACACACATGTAGTGAGTTTCCTTGCCAGAGTACATTATTTACACATATGTAGTGAGTTTCCTTGCCAGAGTATATTATTTACACAGATGTAGTGAGTTTCCTTGTCTGTTTAAAATTATCACACACATGTAGTGAATTTCCTTGCCAGAGTACATTATTTACACAGATGTAGTGAGTTTCCTTGCCAAAGTACATTATTTGCACACATGTAGTGAGTTTCCTTGCCAGAGTACATTATTTACACATATGTAGTGAGTTTCCTTGCCAGAGTATATTATTTACACAGATGTAGTGAGTTTCCTTGTCTGTTTAAAATTATCATACACATGTAGTGAGTTTCCTTGCCAGAGTACATTATTTGCACACATGTAGTTAGTTTCCTTGCCAGAGTACATTATTTACACACATGTAGTGAGTTTCCATGCCAGAGTACATTATTAACACACATGTAGTGAGTTTCCATGCCAGAGTACATTATTAACACACATGTAGTGAGTTTCCTTGCCAGAGTGCATTATTTACCCACATGTAGTGAGTTTCCCTGTCTGTATACATTTATCACACAGATGTTGTGAGTTTCATTGCATTGGTTTATTTTCATTTTCGATCAATGTTTGGAATCAGCTTCTAGTGTTTCAATGTTATCGATTATAATCAGACACCAGATTTCTACTTTACAAAGCATAATTTTGAAATTTTAAATTCAAAAGTAATGAGAATCTTTTATCAAGTATATTTTTAGAATCTACACACCTAGCTTAATTAAAAATCAAAACAAAAAATAGGGGTTAATGTGCTTCTCTTGGCGCTATTGAGCATTTAGTTTGACTTTTTTGCACTGTAAATACGTCTTACACATAAATCAATTTTTAAAGTTTTTCCTCCAATATTTTTTTCAAATAAATTATGGGAACAAACACAGTCTTATTTCACCTTGAATATATAGGTATATTAAAATTTGTGACAACAAAAAATTTTCAAATTACTTCGCAAGTTCAATTATTTGACCTTTTTGCACTCAGAAAATATTTTTCTGGCATTAAAAAATTTATCAAGCAATAATATATCTTGAAAGTAATGACATTTTACTGAATTTAAGAAGAATGGTTAAAAGTATTTTATATATTCAGAAAAGAAAATTAAAAGTGGGGGTCTGTGATGTTAATTTTTAGATATTACCAAAATAGTGCTAATTTTAAGCTTAATTTAAATTACGGCTATTTTTTCCTGGATTTTCACAATATATTTGCTATACTTATCAAATATAATGATAGAATTCATGATATTTTATTTGATATATAATTTAGGACCAGCATAAAACAATTCATGGCTCAGAATAACTCTGTGTGTAGGCTGCATGGAAAAATAGGAATCCAAACTTAGCATACTTTAAATACTTTGAAAGAGAAAGAAATGATCATTTTCTTCTAAAAAAAAAAACCTTCCGCCACAAAATATACTGTATGTGTCCATAAAATAGTGTATTCAAAATTTAGCGAAATCACTGGGTTCTGAGGTGTTGGCGACATCATGAATTAGCGCTATAAATGTCTGTACCATATATTGTATTTATAAATGATTTCTTAGTGGTATTCATGAATTAGGGCATTGTTGTCTGCGCCAAGGGCCCCCTAAAATATGAAGCCTGCTTTTTTAAGTACACATACAGTAGTTCCTCACTTAATGCTTTTGGTATGGAATTTAATCATGGAGTTTTAACTGAATATATTTTAATTGGTATTGTAGAATCCAAATTTATTGTAAGAACTAAAACATTATGCAAAAGTGGAAATATAGGTTAAGACAAAAATCTACTCAAAAGCTCAGGAGCATTTTACTTCTGGAGAACCACTTAGCAATTTTAATTTGTTTAAATGAATGGTGACCAACTTTTCAAGGAGAAGTAGCTATGAAACAGTGAAAATTTGATTCATATAAAAATCTCCTTTTTATAAACCATTGAAACTTATGTGGAAGTCAAGTGTCCTGACATGGTATAGATTCAAGTTTGCATGTTCAAATCTGACTTAATGGGGTAGGTGGAACCAGTATGGAATCAATATTTTTTTTACATCAACATATAAAAAAAAATGTCATAATAAGATGCGGTCATAACATGGTAGTTTGTTCAATTGTCTTTTTGTAATTAAAAATAAATAAATGAAGTGCATCTACAGTGGGGTAGGATAGGGCTACAATGAAGGATTGAAGTTTTTCATTGGAATGTATGTCACAACAGGACATTGATTAGTGATATTAATGTCCTAGCTGTTATCCTCAGAAAGTGCTGTACAATTTTTTTCCCAATCATGGTTCCTAGAGGTACCCGTAGAGTGGCACAACAATAGTGGATTAAAGTTTTCTGTGGGAATATAAAGGAAAAAATGTTTAAAATAAAAAAGAAATGGAATTTTTTTTTTAAATACAATGTATTCTGTGATAAAGAACAAACAACAGCATTTTTTTCTTCCATAACTGGTACCATTGAACAGAGTCATTCCACCAAAAATGTTAATTATTCCTAGTTTGAGAGCATTAATATTTTTCATCAAATTTTGAATTCGTCTATTTTTATGAGGAAAAAATTGTAAAATGCTAAGTTCAAGATCTTTGGGATTGGTATTTTGACTACTTTGTATGGACATTCTTTAAATAGTGCACTGTGCACAAATTTGGTTGAGAATGCACATTTAGTTAAGTATTTTAGTATATCCCTATTCGTTCAAGCTATATATACTGTCCTGTCTGTCCACTTTATTTTGCAAGTCATCTAAATATTTAAGTGGTAGCCAAAGAAATTCATTTTCAGGTGATTGATTAGTTTTTGTAGATGTGTATGAATTTTGATCTCTCCCCTGAAGCTAAGCTGAAGTGAAGTGATAATTCTGTTGAACATGAATTGTTAGATATCAAATGAATTCCAAACTTTAAGACTTCGTTTCAATATGAAGGGATATGTTAAGATTCGAGCATTGATTGGTGTATACAATTAAAAGAATGTCTTTGTGCTTGCATGATGAACTGGGTTGAAAAATTTTGAAAATATTAAATGTTTCCCTCAGCTTGTTGTGATCCTCCTGGACATCCAAGTGTTTTCGACATTGATGAAGATTTTGTCAATCTCTCTCTTGGACCAAACCAAGAAATGATGGTTTTAAGAAGATTATAGGATATGTCATAGAATACGAAGACCCCACCACTGGAGGCAGGCTAATGACTACCCAGTAGATGAGTGTGTTTATGAGGGTGAGTAACTGATTACTTGTTGACACATGTATCTTTCTTATGAACTAGTAAGTGGATTTACATGTCCTTTTGTTGCATGTAATTAGTATATTATGGCTGAAAACTGTAAAAAGATGTTTTACAAAAGTGATTCTTGAAATTTGTTTTGTTTACAAAACTTGAATTTGAGAGTTTTTTCATCAGTGAAGGGATTAAAAAAGGACAAGGAATACAACTTCCACATACAGGCCAAGAATCTTGAAGGTTTTTAAATTAGTGAGTCTAGTGATGTGATTGGTCCCATAACTCCCAAGCCCAAATACAGTAAGTATATTTGAAAAAAATTATAACATTTTAAAAAACAATTACCATATTGTACTTTATTTTCAATTATTTTTTCTTTCACGTTTTTAAACTTTTATTTTAGCCAAGGTTTTGCCACCTGGTGTACCAGAGGCTGTCAACAATTCTATAACTTATCTGAAATGGGAACCACCTAAACATAATGGTGGCTGTAAAATTACAGGTACTAATTTAAAAGTAGAATAAAAAAAGGGAAATGATGATCTCTGTTCAAAACCACATAAACACTGTAGCAGTTGATAATATTGATTATCTTTGTAGACTACCTTGTAGAAGAGAGGTTTAAGGGAACAGAGAAATGAGTACCCCTGCACTGACCCCTCTTTACTGTCACCGATCTTCCTCAGGACTCAGAGTGAGAGTTTAGAGTTACAGCTGATAACTTTGCTGGAAACTGTGAGCACAGTCTGTGCTCACCAGCATACAAAATCCAGGAGAAGATTGGTATGTTGTCAAGTTAATAAATGTATCGTACACTATTATGGTACTAGAAAAAAGATTTGGAGGTCAAATTAAACCATAATGTGTATTTTCTTCTCAAAGCCCATAATACTCTCACTTTACTGGTCAGGAGCTGAAATTTATGTGAAAGCTTCCTGATGTAATAAAGATTTTAAATTGTTCAAAAAATGGCCTTTGAGGTAGATGGGGCCACAATAGGGGATCAAAGATTTACCTTGAAATATATACATACATTTATGTACTGGTTAAAATCTTTACGAATCCTCTTAAGAACAACTGGACCACAAAAAGTATTTTTAAACCTTCTTGTAGCTTCCTTTTTGTTCAAATCATGGCCAAAGGGAGGAAGGAAGCGGGGGGGGGGGGGGGATAGTGGATTCAGAGACCCTTTAGAGTTTGGATAGGGTCATAATATGAGTTCAAAATTTTGCATGAGAAAATTAAGGAGAAAAACTCTTTATAAACATTAAGAAAAGCTTCTTTTACATGGGAAATGTTGTAGCCTATGGGACTCTTCTTTGCATGCATAGTAAAGGCAAAAAGAAAAAAAATAGATAACCCCTATTGTATTCATAAATTTGAATCTTACTTTTTAAGAAAAGTGTTATTTTCCAATTTAATATCTAATTTGAATGTTTTGACAGAGTCTTTTGCAATTGAGCAGGATGAGGAATCACACCAATCATTTGTAAATGAAAGCAGCAGTCATGATGTTGTCAATGAGAATGGTAATCTATATTTATGATGTTGTTTGGATGTTACAAATTAAAAGTTAACACCATAAAAATGAACAGTCTTAAAATGATAATTTCTTTTTTAGAATTTTAAATAGGACATGATACAGGGCCACTTTTAAGTGATGAAGCAGACGAGTATGATGATGGTAATGATGATGAATCATACCATCCTTCAAGCGATGAAAAAAGCTGTGATGAAGATACCATTAATGATCTTGGTAATAAAGCTGAAAACAGAACTTTCTTAAGCTCAAGTAAGCTTTTCTGATCAAAGTTTGTCCATTGTCCATCTCCAGCGTCACTGTTGTTTCAAATTTTCAGCTCCTTCTCAAGAACCACTGCGTCAATTTCAACCAAACTTGCCACAAAGTATTCTTCGGTGGGGGATTCAAGTTTGTTCACATGAAAGGCATCACCCTATTTTAAGGGGATATAATCAAAAATAAGTGCAAATTTGATGGCATCTTTAAAAAAATCTTCTCCAGAAACAATGGGCAGAGTTGTTTACTTGTACAGCTTTTTAGTATTTTCCATGAATCTTCGAGTAAAAAAGTGCTCTACAGATTCATGTTGAAAATATACAGATTTTCCCTAAAGACGGAAAAAATCAGAGTCGTTCCCGAAATTTGCCAATCAGTTTGATAAAGAAGCTTGTTGATTGAAGTGGTCTTATCAAAAATGATCTAAAAACAATATAATTACGGCAAATGTAAAATATGTAAGCAACAGTAGACAGCATACGGTGACTTGCGTAGTTAGTGCTTAGTATTTGTATAACAAGGGGTTCTTCATATAAAAATGTCTAATAAGCTGAGTTGCATTTTTACTGACAAACTGCTCAAAATACTGACAACTTCTAGAATACTGACATCAGTTAGAAAAGTTAAACAGGTCTGAGTGGGCCAGAAAAATTATTCTCCAGAACAGCAAAGCCATGACAAATCATATTAATACAGAAGCATACTCAGGTAATGTAGCTTGAAGAAGGGTGGGGACACAATGGGGCATAAGACTTTTACATGGAATTATATAGAAAATGTCTTTAAAGGCCTTCTTCTCAAGAACAGCAAAGCCATGATTTGTTATATTAATACAGGAGTATTTTTCAGGTAGTGTACATTCAAATTTATTCAAATCGTAACATCAAGGGGTAGGATGGGAGAAGTAGTTTCAGGTTTGTTCAAATCATCACCCACAGGGCATAGGGTGGCACCAATTGTATAATTACTCAAACTTTCCAATACTGAACTGATTTCTGCTTTTCTCTTGCAAAAGGGCTCAGGTGTCATGGACCATGGGCCTCTTGTATAAGGTGTTATGTATTACATTGTACAATATGTAGATTGTTTAAAGTGAATTAAAATTCTGGCAGAATTTCTGTCTTGAATTTTAAGTATGACTGTTTCTTTATTACAGTTAAGGATTAATTCCATAAGTTGATTTTTCTCCAGACATGATCACAGTCTGATAAATTGACAAAATTCATTTTAAATAAATTACATTCCTTTGCATCACATTAACATGATGTTCATTAGCCAGCATTATAAATTATAAATATCTCCATAAGGAGCTTACATATATAGAGTGTTTCAATCATGCCTAACAGATTAAAGTATTGAAAACAACTTTCATACCCTCTTCATTAGGTTTGAATGGGTAAGATGAGGCCATAATAGGCAATCAAAGCTTTACATAGGGATATATGGGGGGGGGGGGGGGTGTGCAGGGCCATTGTGACTTGGGTGAGCCATGTGGCCCATTGGCCTCTTCTATAAAAATAAAGATGAATCCCTTTTGCCAATACATGTACATATATAATAATTTCAGATATGCCCAGTAAGCCTCTCAAATCTGAAATGCAGCAGAAACAAGCTGCACTTGCAAGTGACAGCGAAAAGGACAGTGAATGTGAAGATGATCATGATGATGTCGGCAAAGTTTTACCACAGTCAGAGAAGCGAAAGACCAGGTTTTTAGAGGCCAAAAACATCGTCTGGGAACTATAATAATAAAAAACATTCATGTCTCTTTTGTGAGAAGTTTTGCCAGCAGGCAGTTGATGGTATGCATATCATATAAGCCCATAGCTCTTTAAGTACAAAAAATTGTGAGATTCATTTTTGCATATAGGTTCAGGATGGAGCTGAATATTGAAAAAATATATCCTATAAATTTTTTTTCATGGACATGTAGCAGACAGCTGTTTGCATAATTTAAGCAAGTAATTATTTTTTAACCAAAATTTGTGAAATTTATCGCTCATGACACATTGTTCATGCAAGGTTTACCTATTTATATTGACACTGCAACAGGCCCAGAACCCCCCCCCCACTTTTTCTGAGTATAGTATTTTGCTATAGTAAAGTATCCTTTATATCCTGGTTGCCCCTCCCCTCCCCCCCCTTTTTGTTGCAATAAGGTCAGTTCAGTAAATAATGTTTTTTTTTGCTTGTCAGATATTTTTTGAAGTCCCCCCTACTTTTGAAACCCTTGCTATGGGCTGTAAATTGAAGTTTTAAAAAATTCTTTACTGGTGAAGATCTAGCAGGCAAACTAGCAGGCATAAAATTAAATATGAAGATTATGAATAGTAATCAAACTCAAAAGTCCATTAGAATAATCCATATTCGTAGCAGAGCAAACATGGACCTCTAAAATTAATCTTAATTAATGCTTAGCCCTCTAATTGAAGGCTTCTTCATGTTTCAGGCACATGAAAAGGCAGAGTTAGTCATAAATTAGAATGTTTTATACAGTATTAGCCAGTATACCTTATCCTCTTTACTTTTGAACTTCTAGGAGTTCAGCTGCATCAATATGATAATAAATATAGAATTCTTGTGAAAATTTACGATTTTTGTTGCATGGGTCTAGATTTCTAGATCCAGGCGGTTTTGAAATGACCACAGCCTGAGAAATTCATAATACTCAGGTAATAGTCAAAGCCTAGGGCCTTTTGTTGCATTTTAAACACAGGAAGTTATTTACTGCATGATATTTATATTTCTTGCTTGGTTGTCAGCTTTAAGCTTGAAGAGTTTTTTTTTTATTTCGAAACTTGTATGTTGTTTAATGCACTAAGAAAATGCCACTATATTTTGCACAAATACTGACTGATTGTCCTTGGTTGTTCTGTGAAAATAAACTTATTTTGGATACCTTAAAAATTAACAGCAAGAATTATCTATTAACACTTGGCTTATACATGTGTATCTTATTTCATGTCAGCCTTCTTTTTATGTACTTTTTTGTATAGTTGATGCAATTAAATTGTTTCATGCAAACAAACCGTCTTTTTTGTTTGATCTTTCAAAATGTTGTAAAACATTTGAGCAAAGGGATAAGAAAACTAAAGGGTGCTGTATGAACTGCATTTCGTAAAAAATCATGGTTTTAGAGACCAACATATTTGAGCAATGGGATTTTTAAATGCTGAATTGGAAAATGAAATGATGAATATGAAATGATAGAATGTTATGCATAAAAAAACAATGAAGTGGACTTTCCCCACCAAAGTAATTTCAGTTTTTTGTAGCCATTAAATTGCAAGAATAAATAAGAGGGATCATTATTTTTCCCCTTATTTCAGGTCCGTAGAACGCGGAGGCTATCCCCCCCCCCCCTTTTCTGAATATACTATATTTACTATATTACTATTGTAAATTTTCCTTTGAATGCTGGTTGTGGTGTCATCCACATAAAAAAGAACGAGATGTTATTACATGAACAGTAGTTAAGTAATTTGTAATCCTATAAAATTCTTGTTAAGAAAAAAATAAACTCTTTAAGATCATAAAAAACATAATGATTGCATTTAAAATTGGGGAACGACTTTCAATTCCTACTTGTCTTACCCAATGCAACAGAAAAAAAAAACCCAAAACGAATATTCTTGACGAAGCAAGTCTTGAATCAACGCACACTCGGCCGTCAGCGACGTAAAAGCAGAGGGGAGGGGTAGCTTGGCCCCTCCTTTTTTCAAACTTAAAAGTTTTATTTTTAATTTACTGTGAAAGTGTTCATTAACCCCCCCTCCCCCCCACCCCCATACACACACTGTTTTGTTATGTATTTAAATGCGGTCATTTTATTGTAAAGAAATTTTTTGGAGGGTTCACAAAAGTTCAACCCACCAATAGGATTTTCGACTTTTTGAAGTTAACCTATTTCTCTTGCTTGCCAAAGATTTTCGGGTATTAAGTTGTATTTTCTGCCCCCCCCCCCCCCCCCCCCCCGACTTTCAAAAACGATGTTACGTGCCTGGCCGTTAATACTTTTAAATCTTTGTCATGACTGTTAATTTATTCTTCTCATTTCATTTGCTTTATTTTAATCTATATACAGATGTTGAAAGCCATTTTTTTATCTTTTAACTTTATCGGATATCCTTTGACAATTTTTTTTTCTATAGCATACAGATTTCATGCAGATATTGTCATGTATTTTCGACAATTTTTTGGAAAAATTGGTGTTTTTACGGGAAACGCATTCAAAATTTACTGAATGTAGTGATTTTCTTGTATAATATCTTACAAGAGTGTTTATGTACTGAGTTTCCTGTGTGTGTCCTGGTAAAGCCATGTAGTGACTTGTCAACTTCCAGTGTGATTGAGCAAAATCACGTGACCAAATGTAGTGACTTTTAGGTGAAAAATCATTTTTTCATTATTTGAATTTTCATCTTTCTGAACCTCATTTGCATATACAAAGACCCATAGAATCACAGTTATGGTCTGTTTATCTTGTTAGCATTGCTGGAACATAGTGTAGTGACTTTCAGGTGTAAAACCTCGTGTAGTGAGAATTGCGGTTGTACACGTATGTGTGTGTGTGTAAGGGTGTGTTGGTTTCACCTATCTCCCGAGGACTATGGTGTGAAAAAACACCTTTACTCCGAGGACGTAAATTTCTTCCGAGGACTTTTTCCACGTCCTCGGAAAAAAATTGCTTGTACCGTCACAAAATATCGAACTACATCACGTGGTGAAATTTGATGAAAGTCCTCAGAAGAATAGTAAGATGTGAAATTGTGTTACACCATCACACACTTTTATCGTCTGCCATAACACACATTTGATATTTTAGATGCGCGCTGATGCGCGCGCATCCAAACAGGATATTTCCGATGCGCACTGATGCATGCGCATAGGAATGGCGGAAATGATGAAGGGTCTTGACTTTTACGTCTCAATATGTAAGTATTCACAGTATATTTACTAAACGTTGTTTTCATTAATGAAAAATAAATAATCTTAGATAAAAAAAAGACATTTAACAAAGAATTTTAATGCTAGTATCTGTACTTACATGTAGATGTAAACAGATAGGACATATACAAACATTAATAGGAAAAGACATAAACAGATAAATGATAGATCTCATTTGACTACTTAAAATCGTGTAATTGAGGAGAACTGTCAATGAAGAAGGGGAAATGATAAGTACGAAAAACATATGTTTATACCATGTTCATTTCTATGAGCCTTTCAGGTTTTTAGGTGACATTAACTTGTTGACAAAACGCTTGCTTATAATTAAACCCCCCCCCCCCCCCCAAGGTTTTTTTTGATGACAAAACACTTGTACAAGCAATGATACGTGGCACTGGTTAAATTAATTCACACGAATTAAGGTAGGATTATTAAAAATGGCTGTTTGTAAATTTAGAATTTACAGAGGGAAGAGCCAAAATTACTGAAAATGGAAACTAAAATTTCGATCATTTATCTTCACATGACAATCTTAGATTCCTCACTTTTTCATTGTAGAGACTTTTTATTTGGAATCGAAAACAATGTATAGTTCCTTTGACATAGTTTTCAGAAATGGAGCAGTAGATTAACTTGTTAAAAAAGTAGCATGCATGCAAATCTTTAATTTATGGAAAAGCAAAATTTAAAAAAAAAAATTCTATTCTTTTGGAAAATCATGGTTAGGTTTTATGGGTCTGAAAAGCAGTGGTGATCAAGAAAACAAGACCAACCGTACTCAGTATTTATAACTTAACAAACTTTCAGAAACATATAAATGGAATATTAAGGTAATGGATTTTGTTTATGTTTGTTGTTGTAAAACTCGAGATTAGTATAAATACTTTTGCACACTTCAATTCATTTAATGTTCCTTACCTTTCATCTTCAAAACACAAAACTGATCTCCATGTTTTTTCACTCATATTAAAAGGCCACCACTTGCTGGTGGAGGGCTGCAAATTTAAAACTGTACTCAGTACTTATGGCTTTTGAGCACTGAGGGATCTTTTTCATGCCAGCACTTACTGCGACACAGGACCTCAGTTTATAAGGTCTCCTCCAAAGACCGGTCTCCATGTTCTGCTATTTGAATCCACAATGTAAGGATCATCTTACTCCTTGACTCTAAAGCAAATGCTCTAACCATTGCACCATGCAGGTGACTTTGATCTCCATGCCTCAGAGGAAATGACTTGATAGCCTCTTATAGGAGTAATTGTCACTGGCTGTATGCACTATCTATGTAGTCACATAAACCAAATACTGCTGCTCTTTGAGACATAGTTTATAAGTCTTCTATAATGCACTTAAAATAAGTCAAGATTCCAATTTCAAACATCCCATTCATTCAAAGAGTTAAAAAAAATCAATACCTCAGGAAGTTTCGACAATTCTTAGATTTGAAAAATATTGCTCAAATTGAATTAGATTTCATATTTTATTCTGTTTATGTCAAACATGATATTCTCTTTATTAACAATTGATTTCTCTCCTTGGTAAAATGATTTTTTACTGTTTATTTAACGTCCCTTCGAGAATTTTTTACTCATGTTAAGAAGCCACCACTTCCCTGTGGAGGGCTGCAAAATTAGACCTGAACTCAGCACTTATGGCCATTTATATTAGCAGTAAGGGATATTTTGTGCAAACACCTACTGCAACAAAGAACCTGCTTTATACGGTTTCATCCAAAGGACCGGTTTTCAGGTCCCACAATGGGATTAAAACCCATGAAGTAAGGATCAACTCCTTACTTTGCAACTCTGGAGCAAAAGCTCTATACTCTATGCCACGTGGCGACTGGTAAATTGATAAACATGCACTAAATATGTTGACTCTACCACAGGTCTCTATGTGACCTCTAAAATTTAGGCACCAACTGGCTCCTTATGAAAAAAAAATTTAGTCACAAATGCAAATTTTCAGCCGCCAGGTAAATTTTTCTTAGGCACAAATCTAAAAACTGATATTAGTCAATATTAGAGACATGTCTATTGCTTCTTTTCGG